TGATTTACTACGCTTTTTTAAAGAATACTTTTATATAATTATTTGGCTTGGGATAAGGTTATATTTTAATCCCAAATAATCGATAATGTCTAGTCAGCAACAGAATAATCTACGGTTCATTTATCATACACACGCACACATGTTTTTCTAGTCAACACATTTATATCAAAGGTTTGTCACAAAACCGATTGGAAAGCGACAAAAAAACATGGATCAACTAGTAACACATAAAGCGTTTTGCATTATATACATATCAATTTATTGAATAAATGTTCATTGAATTTCAAGCCCTATCAATAATCGTTGATAAAGAAAATATAATTATTATGGTATATCCTCTGAAAGTGTTGAAGTTTCTATCGATCAAGAACGTATTAACAATAGACTGTATAGTAAACAAACTCATTACAACAAGATAACAATTATTCCACTCACATTTAGGATATCATTAAAAGAATGAATGAGATATATGCTTTGTGTATACTAGAAAATAAATTGGTAAATCTTTTATTATAGTCTGTAACCTAATAATTTCACAAGCTAATAAAATATAATTTTAATTGTTGAATTCGTGAGTCAATTGAAGCTAACCCACTATGGAAATTCTAGGAAGCACTGAACGGCCGTTTCATCCTATTGTGCGGCGCCTCAGCAGTGCGTATCCACGATCTCACCTCGCGAGATAAATAAAATATATTTGTCACTAATAGTCACATTGTAGGACTATATACTGTTATCTCTAGGATTCACGTAATAATACCCCAAGAATTTAAATACAAGAATTTACGTCCACTTGTTTGTAATTAAGACATCAGTTATAAATTAATAAATGGTGCATTCAATAAAATAAAATAAAATGTGATTATAATTAAGTAATAATGAATTAAATGAACGGGTATATGTAGTTTTTTTAAATAATAAATTATGTACTACCAGTCATCTGACATCTGAAACAGCATTTGAAAAATTATTATCCAGTTTATGTATTAATTTCTGTTGCTAAATGATATTCTTGTCTGTTTCCATTGACGTAACCAATAATTACACATTTATTGTATTTTTTCAACAGTGGCTAACAATAAATAATGCGTCTAAATAAATAATTACTTTAAGTCCCAGTGAAAACGTCAAACGGGAATCCAAGTATATCTAGGGTTTTAGTCCCGAATAGGGTGAAATACACGTCCTAGATTCCTTAACTAGCCACTATCGAGAACACTGTTTAAATGTCATGATTGAAGATACTCAGTAGTTATAATTTGCAGCCACTTTCAATACAATAAATATAATAATCAGTAATAAAACTAATTAAAGTCTTCTATAATGAACATTTTAGTACGATGCTATGATTTAATATGATTGATTATTATCATAAGTTTGTGAAATTTGTATAAAATAATCTTTTCATCAATATCTGAAGTTATTCGAAAGAAAAACTGTCCCAAACTACCGATAATTGAAAAACATGCTTTTTTGTGACACAAATCAGCTCTATTTATTTATTTATAAACACATAAACATTGTTACAAGGTGGTACCAAATAGATATGCGCTACATAAATCATTCGATTCGTGTGAGAGCTGGGATACTGCCCGGGTGCCCAGACCGAAGCAGGTGGTTTTCTTAGAGGGCCACACCCCGAGCCCTTGACCTAAAGGTCTGACCCACAAGGCAGTGGAGCATCGTGAGAAGATGCAGTCCCATAGTAGACTGACCAACGATCGGTTCATACGCCACCTGTTCCCACAGGACACTGGAGCCCATGTACACCATTGGTTTGAAATCCGGTTAAAGCGCCGAACATTCGCTCTTCGTCTTCTCAATTTCGTAAACAACACTCCTGCCACGAGAAGGCAATGAGTAGGACTTCTCTGGCAGAGGCTGTATACGCGTGGCTGTGTGAGAGCATTTCGAAAGGGAGGGTAAGCCCACCCCACTCTCGGCCATACAAGGGAATTTGTGGGAAATGAAATCTAAGATAGATGAGTTCAATTTAACCAAAACTTTCCAGCGCTATTGAAATTTTAGAAGAAAAAAAATGAAATGAAGATAATTTTCAAGTTGACTGGGTTATGACTATAATTAATTAAAAAAATACTAATATCTATTAAAAATCACGTTAGTTCAATAATAAACGTAACCAAAGACTATCTTATTCAGTTATCTTTATCGGTATCCTCCATTCATTACTATTTATACGGAAACAGTATGAAAATTTAGCGTTGTTTCATCTTGAAAATAATTAAAATAAATGAATTAAATTTATTCACTCTAATGAACAAATAAAATAATATCTCTGTTGTAATACATTCAGTTATTTTCAAGAAAACATAGTTACCTTTAATTATTCCATACAAAAATCATTTCTTGATTGGTTTTATACAATCATCACGTTCCACGAAACAATTGATAATGATTTCTTTTGTTTCCTTCAAGTGATGTGTGAATGTCCAAGTGGAAAATACAATTATCTTTTCTAAGATTTATGATATACTTTGTAAATAACAAAATAACTTCGTCAATAAGTGGAATGATCTCCATTAGTTACTGTCCTTAAACTATGATTATTTAGTTACATACTTCATATATTTTGAAAGTTATTTAGGTATTTTGCTTCTTTTAATTATGAATAGGACTTGTATATAAGATTTTTATTCTATAATAAGATTACATTATTCTTTTGAGAAATTTAGTTATTCTACAAAAAGTTATTTTATCAGAAGGGAGTTTTGTGGAGATTTTGGTAATTTTATAGTTGAATTCACGAGTTAAATAAAGCAAGACCACCATGGAAAACCTGGAAGCACTGGACAAACGTTTCGTCCTAGTATGCTACTCCTCAGCAAAGTGCATCCATCGTTGGATGCCGGCTCAGCAGTCTAGAAGTTAAGGGCTCGCGTGCGAGACTGATAGGCCCTGGGTTCAAATCCTGAAAGAGGATCGTGGATGCGCACTGCTAATGAATCTCGTACTAAGATAAAAAGGCCATCCAGTGCTTCCAGTTTTTCAATGGTGGTCCAGCATCAATTGACTCACGGATTCAACTATAAAAAGATTATTTGTTATTTAAAACCTTGATAAGTTAAAAATAATGATTATAATTCGAGTATGTGTGTTATGTTAGAACCTTTATTAGAAAATGCGAATTTAATAAGATCCATTTAAATGAGGTTTTTGTTCTCAATAATAAAAACAATAGTAAGTATTAATACCAAGGATGGATTTGATACTTTCAAATATCTGAAGACCTGACTTATGTTCAGTTGCGTAACGTCAAAACGTCAAGATTCTACAGATTGAGATATCAAGAAATATTATTATTTCATTATTAAAAATGTTTTTGTTCAGTGAGATTTTAAATTGTCAGTTCTGTTTACAAATCTTGTATGTCGCAAAATATTATACATAAATTTTACACACTGGTCAACTTTTGATCCGATAATTATGCTTTACATACATTGATCTGTGAATACTGTCACAACTCTAGCTAATATTCGCTTGTTATACTGTTCCTTGAAATCATTCAATAAGCTTGAATTTAAGAACATACAAAAGTTTGCACTTGCCTAAATATAATGAGGTACAATTATGAAATACAGAACAAGGGCTTCAAATGTTGCCTTGACACATATGTTTATATTTCTCATTCAGTAAACTTTATTTATTTCCATTCATATTTTCGTCTTTACTTGACCGTTAAATTACCAATGATAACTTGTCAGGTAAATAAGGCTACGATGTATATTATATTAGATCAGTCAATTTCATTGATGTTACTTTCAGCTTTAGACGATAGATTCATCATTCAGTGAAGCACTTAGTGCATGGTAAATTAAAAGGCGAATAACTGTTTGAGATTCATACATCAGTGAGCACTGCGTTTTATTCGCACATTATCATTCAAGTACAGTATATGATAAATCTGAATTAAATACTCTAAGTATTGAATGGTATTAATATTTAAAACATTCATTTCAGTCTTTAAAATGTATTCACATGACTAGTGTTTTAAAAAAAATCATTAATCTAACCCAGTGATTCTTTTGTTATCATGTGAGAAGTAAGATTCATCCATTTGCAATAAAACTTACAACTTAAATCTAAAATGTAATAGACTACATTATTATAAATCTCTCAATATATTCAGTTTTACTATACAGGATGAAAATTGGCTAATTTCTGTATTCAACATAAGACTTATTCATAGTGATGAACAACATTATGATCTTGTTAAGTTTTTGGTTTGTGATAACACTTGTGATTGAAGAATTAACATTTTTTAGTATTTCAGTTGTTTCCACGATCAACATTTTGATTTTTTCAATCACTATTTTAGATATGATAATGAAAATATTGTAGATATTAAACATAAAAATTTATAAAGAGAATTGAAAAACAGATTTCAACTACAAATTATTCCTAGTCAATACTTCTGATATTTAAGAGAATTAATACGGGACACACTCATGTAAGGTGAAGAACCTAGAAAGGAATGGTAGGTAGATCAGTAAAATTAAAGTCTACTGTTTTCTTTCCTTACACACCCTCTTGTAAATTCTCTTACCATTTTTATCCTAAATTTATTCATCTATTTAATTTTCAACCAATCGGAATCCATATATTTGTTTTCTTCCGTATACCAGAAACGGGACTCAATTATTTTGACCAATAAAAGTTCAGAACTGATTCCTTCATCAGATTAATAACTATATACATATTTTTAAAGCAAGAAACATTGATGAAAATCAATATAACTTGAGATTATCTTTGTTGTTATTACTATTAATAATATTACGCTATCAATACTATTATTATTTCTGCTTTCAATTAAGATAAGTGGACTATCAGGAGATAATACTGGGAAAATAATTTTGACAAGTATTTTCAACAATCAATTCCAAAGAAAAAAAATTGGTTTTGCAATTAAAACCTTTTTACAAGGAATTTTATATACTGTACACATATACACATATACATATAAATTTGATCAATCTTCAGAAATGGTTGATGACTGGGTTATTAAAACTATGTATGCGACAAAACGGCGCAGAAAAAATCCTAAAAGGTTAGTAGATAGAATAATACTTTTTTTAAAGATCAATAACCTCTTGGGTCTACATCTAGTATGCGTTTTATTTTAGTGACTGACTTTGTAAACATGAAATATCAACAACCTTTATGGAATAATTGTTTATTTAGCATGTTATTACATGTACAAGAGTTCTATTCGTTTACATATATATCCGTAATCATGGTTAATAAACTGTATAAAACTTAAGCTACTCGAATTCGTTTGAAGATAGCAATTTATAATTTGTCAGTGAAATTTTTTCCAGTGCATATCAATAGATGATATTGTAGTGATACCTTGTCGATTCAAGATGTGATCAAAATGTAGGGAGACTTTACTTTTAACTTAATGTAGCAACATTTTTTAACAAGACAAACCAATAAATGCCCTTATGAATCAACATACAAATAACTCAATACTAGTTAACATAAACTATAGATGAAAGGAAGGAATGAATCATTGAACTTAGTAAGCAAAAAATACATGGTGTATCTAATGTGGTTGTTTAAAAAAACTTGGTGAATGATTCTTACTTTCTCAGTATTTATTGATATGCGGGGAAATTCTACAAAGAGATTCTGATCATTTATATAATCTTAAATTTGTCTTCTAAAAAAGGAACACAATTACTAGTTAGCGAGTTATGCTCGAGTGCTTCTATACTAAACGTCAATTATCACAATTTAAAACTAAAAAAAGTTCTGAAAAGAAGTTACATGTAGTCAAGTTATACATTTTTAGATGACAAGCTCTCTTGTCAAAACAAATATATTAGTAAGTTTATATGCACCGATTAGAACGATCGAAAAACATCATTCACTGTGTTCTCACTGTATGAGATTTTTTCTATTGAGGTCATGAACTTATCAATGCTAAAACTTTGTTGAAAACCTGGAAGTAATGGACGGCCGTTTCGTCCCAGTATGCGGCTCTTTAGCAATGCTCATCCCATACTTGGAACTCCAAACCAGGAACTTCGGTTTCGTGCGTGAATGCTTAACCTCTAGACCACCGTCTGATATGATATTGATTAAAAAATTTCTACATGTCATAGACTATACATATTTAATTTTAAGAAAAAGTCTGGATTATTTGATCAGCATAATTTTATGTTACAAACTTGAGCAAATGAAGAATAGTATCAAACTTTAATACTAATTACTACTAGTTTCAAAACAATTTGATATATTGTTTTTAATAGTATGAATAGAAGAAATCATAGGTACCTTACTGATCATACACTGACGTTTGTCAATTTTCACTAAATAGATCTAGGAATTTTCTATGCTATTATTAACTAAGACGATACTAATGATCATTCTTATCTGATCGGTGTATCATTTGGACAAGTTTATGGTTTCAGTCTTGAAACTTCTTAATCGTTCATACTATTTGAATGTGATGGAATTCAGAAATATGTAAATTACTAAGCAAAGATGGATAGTGACTAGCAGTGGAATCCATGACGCACGTTTCGTCCTATTTTGGAATCGCCAGTCGGATGTACCTACATCTCAGAGTTGATATTCACTCCAGGATTCGAACTGAGTACCGTTCTCTTCAAGTCCCATCAGGTTATCCACTTAGCTACTGAGTCCTGATAGCAACTTGCTTGTGTAATGGGTTGAAGTTTAAGTTCATTTTGTATAGTTTTTTGAATCTTCTTATTGATGTTAAGAACTGCAATTGATCAGTCTCTTATTGGTATATGTGCATTACCTCGATAATGCCTTAATTCCCAAATAGGACGAAACGCGCGTTCTGGATTCTGCTATTAACCATCATCCATCTTTGTTTATAATGTTTGTGAATTTAGGCAATATCGAAGCACACCGTACAGAATGCACTTATGCCATTAAGTGATTGATCAATTGCAGTCCTAAAAATCAATGGGAAGATTCAAACAAACATTACAAAATGTATGTAAATTACCGTTAGGTCAATGGATTAGAATAAAATTATTAATACTTAACGTTTATTTTCACTGTTAACATCATTAACTCTTTAGTATAAGTTTGTCACTTAAAACTTCAAGAAAGTACATTTCCATAATTTTAAGTGATCAATAGTTTGTTTTCACGTAAAATATTACAATGTTATTATCAATATTGTTTTAAATCTAAGATATTTACTACTAGGTTAACCACTGAAAACGACTATCAGGAAGCAAATGATTATCTTAAAGATATTTTACAGAGAATCCTTAAATTTTATTATATCAATACTATTTTGTAGGTAAATCCTAGTATGCTTTAAGTGTCAGAGAATATTCATCAGTCATTTATTAAGATAATGTGCTACAACTGAAGCCATTAAAAAGAAGGCTCTATGATAATTTAAATTTAATTACCGTAACTTTATTCATTATTTCATTTAATATTGTGAATACAGTGAAAATGAAACAAATACAGAATATAAGAGAAAGTAAATTAGTAAACAGATGGTTACTTCTCTCTATAGATCATATCTACTGAAAGAATCGCAAGTGAACTCATCTACACACTCTCTCTCTCTCTCTCTCTCGTCTCTCCCATATACCTGTCTATTCAAATACATTCATACATTTTATTAATTTATATTCCGTGTATCCCTGTGTTTGTTTTATCATTGACTTTCTTTCAAATAAACCAACTAACTACACACAGTCAAGCATTCACTCACTTCTACGTTTGTCTATGGATTGACAGGGGTAGTGAAAATACACTTCTACCAAAATCCTTCTTTCAAAATTCAATTTCTCATAGACTCGAATGATTAGTATATTAGTATATTATGAATGAATAAGAAATCTGTTCCGCCCATAACAAAACTACAATACAAGTTCACCAATGCTAACACAGTTGAGTCAAATTCTGTAAAACAGTATAAACTGGAAATGGAAAATAGGATAAAGCACGCGACAGATGGATGTCATACAAATATGAAATCTGATTTCAAGATATTATCGATATATATTAAGATGATAGTATTCATCAGTAGTATGAGTAACGTCATGGTGAATTCTGTTATTCAGTGTACTGATAAAGATTACTGTCAATACATAAGTATTATACTTGGATGTATACTCGTATAACTCAATAAGATATTAATATATTACTTTTAAGAGAAATTCACTTGAATGAATATACATTTTAAAAAATGGAATAACAACGAATATTACATGATTAGAACCCAGTTACTTCTGGTATAGCCTCTTAGAAACCAAGTGCAGATTTATTAATATTCATATAAGCATTTTAATTCTAGTTGTTTGAATATAATGCAATAGCGAAGTAATTTCAACGAAAATAAATGAATATGTACAATGTATGTATCAGAGCATTATATAGAATGAAATTTGAGTTGTTTGTTGAACTCTGTATGATTGATTCTAGTTGATCTTCAGCTTTATAGAAGTTTATAATATGCTGGATTTTACTGTGTTATTCATCTATAACGAATGTGTTATTTTTTATTATTGATATTCTTAGTATAACTACTTCTTTTACGAATATTTTAACATTAACAATGAGATTTACATTCCATTTAGTTTCAGCTATAATTAAGATCATGTTTCAACCTAAACTGATTTTAATTAGTTAGTTCTGGTGAGAAGCCGTATCTAGTGAATTTCAACCGGGTCTGTTGTGAGATGGTAATTCACTGATGACAATAATGGAGAGTGGCGCAATTCCGTGGATTGGTTGAAGCTAAACATTAAAACCGTTGGATGCTGGTTCAGTGGTTTAGAAATTAAGCGCTCGCGAGCGAGACTGATGGGTCTTGGATTCGAACCTCACGAGGCAAGATTGTGGAGTCACACTCCTGATGAGTCCCATACTGGGACTTTCAGGTTTCCCATAACTCATGAATGCAACTCTTAAATGTTCTTCTCCCTGGTGTTTAGATTTCGTTTTTAAAGTTCTGAATAATAAATTTTTCGTACTATTAGATTTATCCCCATAGCTTTTCGTACTATACAGTTTCGTTGAAACTGAGTGAATGAACTATTACAACATTCAGTTGTGTGAAAATCTAAAATAGAATTAAATTCTCTTTTCATAAGTACACAACAAATTCTGATTATATGTATGATTATAACTTTGAGAAGATTGTATTTTGGAAGTTATACTGTAGAATATGCCCAAATAAACTCCTTTAAGTTATTTACATTACATTGAAAAATTATATATCTTGTTTGTTTGCATTCTTTCATTATATTTAACTGACTGTTCTCTTCTTTCTTTTAACTGCATCTAGTAATAAACCAACATGTTCAGCTGTAATTCAACCAGATCATAATGTGAAATCTAATCCAAGCAAAAGGCATCGTGAACGTTTAAATTCAGAATTAGAACATTTAGCAAGTCTATTACCATTTGAACAAAATGTTATTGTGAAATTGGATAAATTATCTATTCTACGATTGGCCGTCTCTTATCTTCGTATTAAGTGTTACTTTCATGGTAAGTATCCTTCATATACATTCCTTTCTTTCGCTTTATTTTTAACACAATATTTGAAGTTGATGTTTTGTCATGGGTTTACATAACTTCTCAAAGATAATATGACTATACATTTTATGAGGTAGTTCTGATTCCATAGATCAAACTGTACAATAATAATGTTTTATTCAGTTTTATATGTTTTATTGATGTATATTAACGTTGCTTAATTTCAAATTACTGTTGCCAATGAATTTAGCAAATTGGTGCTAGACTTATATTCTGTGTTATTTTAATACTTTTCCTGTGAGCTTAGACATAAACTATAACTTGATTATATAATCCGTTGATACAGAAAATTTCTAAATGAAGTAAAATTTATTACATTTTGCACAAAATTTCTATACCATTTATCAGTTATCATGGATCTAAAAATGAAACTTTTTAAGAATAAAATATTCACAAAATATAAATTACATTTGTTTTCCTTTATTTTATTACATAACAATATAAAGACAAGAATAAATCTTTTGAAATACATCCAGGTCTCAATAGTTGAAGTCATGAGTCAAATGAAGCTAGACCACCATGGAAAACCTGGAAGCACTTGACGGCCGTCTCGTCCGAGAGCGTGACTCCTCAGCAGTGTTCATCCACGACCCCGCCTCGTGAGATTCGATCCCCTACTGATACCAGTCATCATATGATCTCTAGTAACGGTCTCCAAGAGGTATTTCCTGCAGTCTTAATGAGAAGTCGTAACCAGTGGAGTTCAACCGGGTCAGTTGTGAATAATAATTCACTGATGACAATGGTGGATGTGTCGCTCAATTTGGTGGATTGGTTGAAATTAGATATTAACACCGTTGGATGCCTGTGTATTGCTGTATTGGTTAAGCGCTCACATGCGAGACTAGTAGGTCGTGGGTTCGAATCCCGCGAGGCTGGGTCGTGGATGCACACTAGTGAGGAGTCCCGTAGTAAAACAAAACGACCATCAGTAATCTCAGGTTTTCAATGGTAGTCTAGCTTCAATTGATTCATGATCTCAACTATTGAAATTACTACAATCTCCACAAAATCCCCTTCTGATATATCCAGGTTCTTAAAAAAGTTATTCACTGTTCTCATTCCCCATTTCTTTCTTATTACTGGTCAGGCCTCTTCTGATGTATCACATTGAATTTACGTAATCTTCAACTAACCTTTTAATATAGTATACTTATTTATTTATGGTTGAATGCATAAATCAGTGATTTAACATAAACAATTAATGTGTATATGGTTTATAAGTATAGTTTAAATTCTTTATTACAATATATCTCTTGATTATTATGAATGGAATTTCTTATTTAAAAAACTAAATTTTTAAGAGATATAAACAACATATAAACAGATCATTTTTTAAAGCTTAGTTCATATCCATGTAAAAAGAAGATTAATTTCTACATACTTTCTTTGGATAGAATCTGTGCTAAATAAATCAAGTGGATATAAGCGTGAAAAATATTTATACATAGATTTCTTTCTTTTGTTTATATATATATATATATATATTGCGTCACAGTATAACAATCAGAATAGTGACAAGATAAAGACAGATTTGAAATAACTACCTAATCAATCTGCATATATATATATATATATATATATAGAGAGAGAGAGAGAGAGAGAGACTTCTCACTTATCCAGCAATTATTCAATATATTAGTTACGTTGTTCAGTGCAGTTTGTTTTCAGTAGTTTATTTTCTTTCGAATGATAAGTCAATTTATTGTAGATGTTAATCCTTAAACATAACTATAATAATAAAAAAAAATCATGATTTAATTTATATTAGATAATAACAATTTACCTGTTGATAAATAACACCTATATTTCTTGAATAATTTAGTATTATCATGTTTCCACTAGTAACTAGACTCAAGATGGATTTCCTAGAGTTCTAGTGAGAAGCTGTGATTAGTGGACTCGAATTCTTGTTGGGTGTGAGACTGTTATCTACCTCAGACAATGAATGAATGGTTGCGTAAAATTATGAATCGATTGAAGTTAGTTATTAAGAACCTTAGATGCCGACTCACTGGTTTAGAGGTTAAGCGTTCATGCACGAGACCGAAGGTATTGGGTTCGAGTTTCATGATCAGGACTGTGGATGAGCTCTGCTGGGGAATCTCATATTAGAACGAAACGGCCCTTCAGTGCTTCCAGGTTCTCAATGTTGGTCTAGTTTAGATCGATTCATGGTATCAACAAATCCTTCATTTGATATATTAGTATTAATTAAACGATTTCTAAAGTTTATATTTGCATTCTAAAAATTCTCATCGATAGATTTTCGTTCATTTAATTGATAATTAATTGACAATTATGACTATCCATAACATTAAATGTGATGAGAATAGAAAATGACTAAATAATTATTGACATTTTTCTATTATATTCATTTCTAAGATGCAATTACATTGATGTTTACTCGAATAGGGAAACAGTGAAGTATTTGGAACATCTCGCCCTAAAACAGTTGACATTTTGAAAAAGTATATATATATGTATATATATTGATAATGAGTTCATTTTTACTTCGATACATACTATTGTCAATGACTTAGATATAAATATTGATATCATTACCAAATATACGTTTGAAGACAATAATTTTCTAATTGAAAGATATTTCTTATAAATAAGAATGATATGTATGAATATATCACACATATATGTATATCATTTCACGCTACCATAACTTGTCACTACCAAGTATTCATTATTGAGGAATTCCAATTATTGAGTTCTTTATATGGGATGGGGCCACTAACCCCATTCACAACCCTCTTCCTATATCTAAGCTTAAGGCTGGCAGTTGCGCCAGAAATATTCTTGACGGATATTCTTTTAATATTTCCTATGTTCATAATTTCTAGCTTTCGGTTAAAATTGTAAATTTCTGAATTTCATTATTTTATTAAAACATACAATTAATCAATTTTGAGCGAGAGAAAAGAAAGAGAATTATACATATAAACAAGCAGATGTTCTATGACAGTTTACTCCGATACCAATGTGTTAAATATCTAGTTAAGAAGAAGTTTATATTTGAAGAAAAGTTTACGAATATTATTTAAAATACCTTTTCTCTGTAAAGATATTTCAAGAATAAAAAAAAGAAGAAGAAAGTCCATTAATTCATTTTGACAAGGAGAAAGTCAATGAAAGTTTTTAAAGTCTACAAAATAATGTTAACATAATTGAGTTATTTATTTTTCTTTTAATAGCATAACGTACACTACAAAAAAGGCATGATGTGAAATTGATGATTTTTCTGGGAAAAAATAACTAAAATAATGTTTCAGTAAAATTGAAAATGAGTATCAAATGACTCATATTTCTCTCTCCCTTTCTCTCTCTCTCACACTCACTCACTCACTCACTCACTCACTCTCTCTCTCTCTCTCTTATATATATATATATATATATATATATATATCGGCTTATTTCTATATTTTGAAAGGAAAATGTTTATTTGTTAATATTATCATTATTGTTAGTAATAATATGACTTTCAGTGTTCATTGCCTTAAATGTTAAATATTTATATCAGGTATACTGCCAAGAAGTGAGTGTACTCTCCTATTTAGTAAAATAAACGTAAAAATATATATAGGTAAATATATTTACTATATTCTTGTTTGAATATACAGACAAAAGTTATACACTCAATAAATCTGTTATCGAAAGTCAAGTAAAGTAGTATAAAAATAATGACTTATTAAGTGTCATTTCTTCCTTGAATTCATTTAATACCTTCACATGTCTATATATTTGCCAAAATAGCCAGTATATATTAAAGTAATAGAAGATAATAACTACATTTTATGCTTTTTTACATGGAGTATTGATATTTAAACATCAGTTATTTATTATCAAGCATGTTTTTATTGACTTAATTGTAGACAATTGCTAATATAATTGTAATTGTGGTGTAAGCTTACGAATATTTCGATTATATTATAATTTACATTAAGGGGAGACATTAATTAGACATTTTAAAACGAGGGGTCAAGGAACAGCTTTTTGACTCCAGTATGGAACACTCCAGCATTTCAAATTTATCACCCCATCGTAAGTCGAATCCAGGAGCTTAAAATCTCATGATGAGAACTTAAACTTTAGATCATTGTAACACTTGAAAATGCCCAAAACAAGTTAACAAAAATGCAAAAAATTTATTGAGACATAGTGGTTGATTTTAAATAACCGACTTCTGTCTGATCATATCCTACTATTTGACTAAAAAGTATCATTGCATAAGTTATTTCAATAACTTTCAGTAACAGGGAATTATTAACTATTAAAATTTATTTTTGTAAAGGATTCTTAGTTATAAGCATATTCCTTCTAGAACGACACTATCTTTTTGAGTAATTTGGTCAGTAATTTATCACTATTTAAAGGTTATATTTACATAATTTCACTCAGTATCATAATATTAGACTATAAAATTTAAACTATGATATTTGTTAAATGTAAGTTTTATCCATATATTGTTACTAATTAAAAAAACGTTCTTTCATCAATTAATGAATCACCAAGAATCCAATAATTCTGATATCACACAAATGAAACTAGTTTTTTCCTAATTAAAAAAGTATTTTCAATAGTTGACACCATGAGTTAATTGAAGTTAGACCACTATGGAAAACCTGAAATCACTACTGGATGCGCACTGCTGAGAAGTTCCACAATAGAACGAAACGGCGGTACATTGCTTCCAGGTATTCCATGGTGATCTAACTTCAACTGACTCATGATCTCAACTATTAAAATTACTATAATATCCGTAAAAACACCTAATACTAATACTGTTTGTACTTACAATTATTATCTCTTCCATGATTATCCCTTTTAACACTGGTTGATAATATGGATTTACTTAAATCTAAATATACGAATAAATAAAAGATTCTATAGTTAAACTTATCTTTTTATCAATATTTTGTTTGCTTTTACGAACTTTAATA